TTTTAAATAATAAATATGGAGTTCTACTCTACATGGACTCTGAGACTAGTTTTTGTTTTGTCACATGAGTTCATCTTCGGTGGTGTTCTGAGGTGTGTATTCACTTGCTCACTCATTCATTTATTCCACAAATACTTATGACCACCTCACATGGACCCGGAACTGAGCAGGGAGTCACAGCCTCAGGAGTGACTGACTTGGACCCTGCCCTCATGGGGCTTGCAGTCTCAGTGGAGAGGCTGACAGTTGCCAGATAACAGAAATAAACGTAAAATGGCAGCAGTTGTGACCTGAGCACCTGCCATGTGTCACGAGGCATCCGTCTCACTGTATGTACCTCTGAGAACTGAATTCCGTATTTCCCATGTCTTCCCACCACAGAACCCCACAAGTGAAGATGTGGGTCTGTGGTCAGCGTTCCCCTGTTTGAATAATGGAAGTGATCCATTTTTACCTCACAAAATGTGGCAAAGATTCCATGAGTTATTGCCTGGGGGCCTGGCATCATCAGCAGTCAGCAGGCATTAGCGTTCTTTTTTTTTTTTAATTAATTTATTTATGCAAGCACCGTGCACAGTCAGAAGCGCAGGAGGGTGAGAGAATTCACCAGAGCCAGAGCGGAGAGCAGAACAGGCAGACTGACGAAGTACACTCCTGAGGGGAGCAGTGGGCAGCAGGAGAGGTCTGTGCGCCATGTGGGACCCTCGCTGGCGGCCAGGGATCGAACTGGCACTGCAGAGGCTGTGGGCAGCCTCGCAGCCCAGCACTCAACTGCTGCGCCACCAGGGGAGGCCCGGGCATTAGCATTCTTTTTATTTGTCCCATCCCCTTCCTGAGGTTCCTCCTCCTATTGACAATGGAGGAATGCACCAGACCTTCTTTTCACCAACCCTGGAAGGGAGGTGTGACCTTCTCTCCGTTTTACAGATGTTGACGACACTGAGGCACAAATAGGGCTTACTCCAGATTTCCCTGCTCCTTAAAATTTGTAGCAGTTGGCCCTTAGGGGTGAGAGGGCTTTAGGGCTCTGCCAAGAGAGCAGGGGCTGACCCTGCCTTCGTGCCCCCGCCCCCAGGAAGCTGGACGCCTTCATCTATGACGCGGCTGTGCTGAACTACATGGCTCGCAAGGACGAGGGCTGCAAGCTGGTTACCATCGGCTCGGGCAAGGTCTTTGCCACCACGGGCTATGGCATCGCCCTGCACAAGGGCTCCCGCTGGAAGCGGCCCATCGACCTGGCACTGCTGCAGTTCCTGGGGGATGGTGCGGCTGCACGCAGAGATGGGGGTGGAGGGGATCCCCGGTTCCGGGAAAGGGTGGGGATGAGGACCAGGGCAACTGGGTCTGAGGGAGGAGAGGGTGGGTGTCTATAATCCCAGACACCCAGAGGAGAGGATCCTAAAGGTGCGCTTCGAAGGTGACCTCTGCCCCCCCTTTCCCCAGATGAGATCGAGATGCTGGAGCGGCTGTGGCTGTCGGGGATCTGCCATAATGACAAGATTGAGGTGATGAGCAGCAAGCTGGACATAGACAACATGGCGGGTGTCTTCTACATGCTGCTGGTGGCCATGGGCCTGTCCCTACTGGTCTTCGCCTGGGAGCACCTGGTGTACTGGCGCCTGCGGCACTGTCTGGGGCCCACCCACCGCATGGACTTCCTGCTGGCCTTCTCCAGGGTATGGACGTGGAGGGGAAGGGGGCAGAAAGGGAGTGATGGGGGGAGGGAACAGACCCTGTGGAGGGGTGGGAGCAGAGGGAGGGACTTGGAAAGGCAGGTGCCCCCCTCCATCCCGCCCTGACCGTGCGCTCTCCCGCCGCCCCCGCAGGGCATGTATAGTTGCTGCAGCGCGGAGGCCGCTCCGCCGCCCGCCAAACCCCCGCCGCCGCCGCAGCCGCTGCCCAGCCCTGCGTACCCCGCAGCCAGGCCGGCGCCGGGCCCCGCGTCCTTCCTGCCGCGCGAGCGCGCCGCCGTGGACCGCTGGCGCCGCGCGAAGGGTGCGGGGCCGCCCGGGAGCGCCGGCCTGGCCGACGGCTTCCACCGCTACTACGGCCCCATCGAACCGCAAGGTCTGGGCGTGGGCGATGCGCGCGCGGCTCCCCGGGGTGCGGTCGGGCGCCCGCTGTCCCCGCCCGCCGCGCAGCCCCCGCAGAAGCCGCCGCCCTCCTACTTCGCCATCGTGCGTGACAAGGAGCCTGCCGAGCCGCCCGCCGGCGCCTTCCCAGGCTTCCCGTCGCCGCCCGCACCCCCAGCCGCCGCGGCCACGGCCGTCGGGCCGCCGCTGTGCCGCCTGGCCTTCGAGGACGAGAGCCCGCCGGCGCCCGCGCGCTGGCCGCGCTCCGACCCGGAGAGCCAGCCCTTGCTGGGGCCGGGGGTGGGCGGCGCGGGGGGCGCGGGGGGCGCCGGCGGCGGAGCCCAGGCTGCGCCACCCCCGTGCCGCGCCGCGCCGCCCCCCTGTCCATATCTCGACCTCGAGCCGTCCCCGTCGGACTCAGAAGACTCGGAGAGCCTGGGCGGCGCGTCGCTGGGGGGCCTGGAGCCCTGGTGGTTTGCCGACTTCCCCTACCCGTACGCCGAGCGCCTCGGGCCACCGCCCGGCCGCTACTGGTCAGTTGACAAGCTGGGGGGCTGGCGCGCCGGCAGCTGGGACTACCTGCCCCCGCGCAGCGGCCCGGCTGCCTGGCACTGCCGCCACTGCGCCAGCCTGGAGCTGCTCCCGCCGCCGCGCCATCTCAGCTGCTCGCACGACGGCCTCGACGGCGGCTGGTGGGCGCCGCCGCCCCCGCCCTGGGCCGCAGGGCCCCCGCCCCGGCGCCGGGCCCGCTGTGGGTGTCCGCGGTCGCACCCTCACCGCCCGCGGGCCTCACACCGCGCGCCCGCCGCCGCCCCGCCGCACCACCACCGGCACCGGCGCGCCGCTGGGGGCTGGGACCTCCCGCCGCCGGCGCCCACCTCGCGCTCGCTCGAGGACCTCAGCTCGTGCCCCCGCGCCGCCCCCGCACGCAGGCTCACCGGGCCTTCCCGCCACGCGCGCCGGTGTCCGCACGCTGCGCACTGGGGGCCGCCACTGCCCGCCGCGTCGCACCGGAGACACCGGGGAGGGGACCTGGGTACCCGCAGGGGCTCGGCGCACTTCTCCAGTCTCGAGTCCGAGGTATGACGCGGCCCGGGGGCCCCGGCCGCCCCCTCGGTCAGCGCAGGCCACGGCCCGAGGGGGCACGCGAAATGGACAGGACCCGCGTGGGTTGGGAAGGAAAAATGGAACTAGCCAGACCCCGCCTGGAGCAACGTCCTGCGCCCCTCGTTTTGGGGACACTGCGAGCCGGAGGGGCTTGGTCCCTCACATCTCACGCAGCCAGAGGGCGAAGGGCGGGGATCTCAGAGCCCATTGGACTTTTTTTTTTAAACCCGATAAGGGCTTTTTAACGTCACCAGATGAGGCGGGAGGTGGGGGGGTCACGCCACGCCCGCGCCCCACCCCCACGCCCGGGGCCGTGGCCCCCACATCACTGTGCAGCTCCCCGGCCCCAGCCACGCCTCCGGGGAAGCCCGTTTTTAACCTTTCATCCATCGGGACTCAAAACTGTGAGACGCGTTCGCCAAACTGTGACCCCAGACCTTGGCCCCGCCACACAGAAACCCCTGACCCCAGACTGTGACTTCCGACCCCCAAAAATGGTCATCCGACCCCAGACTGTGACCCCGACCCCAAACTGTGACCCAAACCCCAGACTGTGTCCCTACCAGACTGTGACCCTTGACGTCAAACCGTGACACCCCCCTCCTTTACCACCCTCTGTCGCTTTTACCTTTTCAGACCTAGGACATGTCCCCAACGGAAGCCCTGCCTTCCCCTGCCCCAGCGTTGATCCGGACCTTAATCCTGCCAAAATTTCCCACCCTGTCGAACCTCACTACTGGTCCCAGGTGCCACCAACCACATGCTCTCCAAATTCAATCCTTATTTGTAACCCTGCAAGTGATGAACCAGCAGACCCACAAAAGTCTCCTCTTCCCAGATCTCCAGCCGGGTCTGGAGCTGTGTTGTGGAGGAGAGGGTCTGAGAGTCCACACTCACCACCACCCTACCTTCCCACTCTCCTGTTCCACATTGCAGTGTTTGGAATAAACCATGTTTTTATGCCTCGTCAGTCCAAGTGTGAGCTCCTTGTCTGTCTTTCAGCCATCCTCCCTCCACCTCCCAAATTCCTCGGGAGGGAATAGAAACAAAGAAAAGTTCCACAGAGTAAGTGGAGGAGAGAAAGCCAGAACAGAAATTTGGAAGGGAGATGGGAGACAAAGACCCTAAAAAGGGTTGAGAGGGTGGGAGCAGGGGAGAGGTGGTGGGAGACTCCGGATCAAAACATTTTAGGATCAAGTCTATGGTTCTATTCCTATGGTTACCGGAAGTGAGGCTTGCTAGATTCTTAATATGGTATTCATGCAAGCTAGGAGAATGTCTAATATGTGCCAGTCAATCCACATATCTTGAGTGCCATTAATCTCGCGAATGAGAATCTATTTCTAATATTTCATTATTCCAATTAGCCAAATCTCTGGTGCTGATGGGCGATAGAGAGCCGCAGCACTTGTAATAGCTGTTTCCAGAGTGTGGAATTTTTGATTTAGTGCTCGCTGACCATAGCTGCAATGTGAACGCTTCGTTAGGCAATTGACGGCCCCTAGAGGGTAGATTCAACCGACTAACTTACACGTAATAGCATCCTGTCTATACTAAAGCCCTTTTAAGTAAATTAAATCCATCATAACAGAAGGGGAGAATAAACCGGCTTTATTGGCCCTTGGGGATTAGAAAACCAGTCCCCAACCAGTAAAAGCTCTTATTTGCATACATGAATAATTAATTAAATGGAAAGCAAGCACAGGCAGTCAAAGGTGGAACAAAGAATCCAGGTTCTGTACTCCTCCAGTTGATAGGGCGAAAACAAGTCTCTTACGGAACTACAACTCCCAGGAGGCCTTGTCAGGGCTCAATCGGAAGAACGCCCCAAAGCTACGCAGCGGGTGGACTTTCTCGGGGTCCGCAAACTACTGTAGCTAGGCTTGGACGCCGTTATCTATTTGTCCTCAGCATCTCTTGGTGAACTAATAGGTTTCCAAGGTAACCGCAGCAGGGCGGCCAGAGGCAGACAAACGTAACCCGGAAGTGACGCTCTCAGCTTGCGCCGGCAGTGAGTGGCTTCGAAGATGGCGGCGCGCAAGAATCGGCGGCGCACGTGTGAAACCGGGGAACCCATGGAGGCTGATTCCCCGGACGCAGCTTCCGAGGGCCCGACCCAAGTGTACCTCCCTGGCCGGGGACCGCCACTACGTGAAGGAGAAGAGCTAGTCATGGACGAGGAGGCCTATGTGCTCTACCACCGAGCACAGACTGGTAGGGCTGGACCTCGGACTCCTGGGTCCTAATGGAAGGAGGGCACTGGGCTTCTGAGTCCTGAGGGGCCTGCGCGTGAGGGAGGCGGGGTCTTAAGAGTATGCCACCCCAACTTCCCACCCCCTTCTTTCATACCCAGGAGCCCCATGTCTCAGCTTCGACATAGTCCGGGACCATCTGGGAGACAACCGGACAGAGTTGCCTCTTACGCTTTATCTCTGTGCTGGAACTCAGGCAGAGAGTGCCCAGAACAACAGGTGTGTGAGACTGAGGCTTTCTCAGCCCAGGAGTCTGAGTCCCAGCCTCTCACTTCCTCGGGATCCAAGGTTTCAGCCTCCCCTCTCCCCTAAAGATTCTGTCATCCATTGCCTCACTTATCCTACACTTTCCCCCAGACTGATGATGCTTCGGATGCACAACCTGCATGGGACAAAGCACACGACACCAGAGGACAGCGATGAAGAAGAAGAGGAAGATGAAGAGGATGAAGAGGAAAGGAAGCCTCAGCTGGAGCTAGCTATGGTGCCCCACTATGGCGGCATCAACCGAGTCCGGGTAAATACAATTCTAGGAGCCTGCTGTACAGGTGCTGAAGCACACCCCAAACCCCCAGGTCTACACCCTGACATTTCATGTCCTTCAGGTTTTAGAAAAATGCCTGACACATGACTTTCTGCCTTAGATTACATGTATCTTTACTATAGTTTCCATTACATGTTAGATACTATGGATTGTTTCTAATTTCTTCATTTGTAAAATGGTGAGAATGATAAAATTCTTAAGTTATAAAACTTAGTGGATGGTGCTGATGTCAGGATAAAATGGAATCAGTTATTTCAACTGAAATACAGTTGTTTTGGGTACCTAGAAATAACACTTGGTTGTAGTGTAATGTGTGGTGGTTTGTTTTGTTCAGGAATTGTAATGGCTATGAGCTTACACTTGAGCTTCAGAATTGTTAGCCCCTTCCATCAGATTTATGTGTAAGTTAAACGACAACAACAAATTAAAGTGTAAGAACCACTCTTACGATTGCTCTTGGCCCGTAGGTCTTGCTAGATGTTCCCATTGAACTATTATCACATTTTAAGGCATGTTGTAAGCACTAGGCATTTAACAGGAAACAAAAGGACTGCTTCCATGAAGGTTACATGTTCTTGGGGAAGGGAACAAGAATGTGTTGTCAGGCTGTCCAAAAATAAAGCAAGGTAAGCTAGGACGTTCCTGGGATGGGGTGACTATTTTAAATAGTGTAGTCAGGGAAGTATTTATTCTTAGGAATAAGTTATTCATAGGAAGTAAGGGAGTGAGCCAAGATTTTCTGTGGTGAAAGGTTTGCGGGCAAAGAAAATATAGGTGCGCAAGGCTCTGGAGTGAACTTGACATGTTTGAGGAGTTTCAAGGGAAGCTGGGAGGCCAATATGTCTGGGGCAGACTAGATGAGAGTGACAAGATTTGGGGTTGCACCCAGGGCACACTATTGTTGTAGGCTATTTTAAGGATTTGGCTTTCACTTGGGGAGAAATTGAGAGCCATGGGATAGTTTAGAACTGAGGATAGATAGGATGTGACGTATGTTTTACAGGGATCTCTCTGGCTGCTATGTTGAGAATAGACTTCAGGGAGGCAAGGGTAGAAGTACAGAGTCATAAGAGTGAGGATCTCGGGAAGGATGACATCAGTAGTAGCATAAGTGACTACAATAGAGCAGTGAGAGGGATTAGGAGTGGTGTTTTGTCGGTAAAACTAGCATAGATGGCAGTTGTGAAGAGGAAGAGAGAAGTCAGTAAGTCTGATGTTTGGACCTGAGGTGAGGACACTGGGGAGGGGTGGGTTATAGTCTGTCACTAGGACTTTGACTTTGGTTTATGAAGTTGAATGGTCAGTACCATGAGTTGAATTCAGGGTAGATGTCAGCACTCAAGGCTGTCAACAAACTCTAAGATCAACAGGGTCTCCTAGTGACCACATATGTGGGGGCCCGAGATCTGCCAACATTTAAAGGGTGACAGATCTGATACACTCCTGAGGGCTGGTGGGATGATAGACTCCATTCCTGGAAATCTGAAAGAATTTTGTCCTCCCCTCATGACTGCCTCTATGCCAGTGTGGGGGCTGTCTCAGCAACCACGCTGCTCTGGTGATCTGTGACTCCTTTCCCCCAGAGGGCTGCAGACCTGGTCCTGAAGGGTCTGCGGGACTGTGGTTCTGTTCTCAGGAATGCTTGGAGCTGTGGTCTCTACTCTGAGCCAGCTGTCCTCGCCCCCTCATCTCATCTCCCATCCTCTTGCTTCCCAGGTATCATGGCTGGGCGAGGAGCCGGTGGCTGGGGTGTGGTCAGAGAAGGGCCAGGTGGAGGTGTTTGCACTGCGGCGGCTTCTGCAGGTCGTAGATGACCCCCAGGCCCTGGCAACCTTCCTTCGGGATGAGCAAGCCCGTGTGAAGCCCATCTTTGCCTTTGCTGGCCACATGGGTGAAGGCTTTGCCCTGGACTGGTCCCCCCGTGTGCCTGGTGAGTCCCTGGGTTGCGCATTGGGTCCTGGAAGGTGGGAAGAAGCAGTGTCCATGGCAGGGGTAGGTGCTAATCCTCCAGGGAGGGGAGTGAGCTGGGGCCAGCTGAGACAGGTAGTTTCTGGACCCTTTTCTCCAGGGCGCCTGCTGACTGGTGACTGTCAAAAGAATATCCACCTCTGGACGCCAACAGATGGTGGCTCCTGGCACGTGGACCAGCGACCATTTGCAGGCCACACACGCTCCGTGGAAGACTTGCAGTGGTCTCCAACTGAGGACACGGTGAGGGGAGGTGGGGGGTGAATCCTAGTTAGAGGGCACTGAAAGAGAGGGTAGCCCAGTGGGGCATCCATGGGGTCACTCAGATTTTGCCTGTTCCAGGTATTTGCCTCCTGCTCTGCTGATGCCTCCATTCGCATCTGGGACATCCGGGCAGCCCCCAGCAAGGCCTGCATGCTCACCACTGCTGCTGCCCATGATGGTGATGTCAATGTCATCAGCTGGAGCCGCCGGGAGCCCTTCCTGCTCAGCGGTGGGGACGATGGGGCCCTCAAGGTCTGGGACCTGCGGCAGTTCAAGGTACTTTCCCAGGTAGACACCTGGGCCTAGAGAAGCTCCTGCTCTCAGCATCCTTTCAGGTTTATGGGTTCTTTCTCCCATCAGTGGTTTTGTATACCTAGCTGAGAAGGCCTGCCTTCATGGTACAACAGATGAGTAAACTGAGGTTAAGCAGGAGGAAGGCTTGTGACCAGTGTGGGCTCACTTACTTGACTAGCTGGAGAGCTGTCAAGTTTGAAGGGCCTGGGGTGACAGAGTCAACATCTCCCATCTGCTCAGGGGGATGTGATCCAAGTGGCTGTGCTGCCCAGAGGCCCAAGGCCTTCTGGGAGTTATAGTTTTTCTTTCAGTGGCTTTTAGCTAAAACTAGGGCCCAGCTCACACATTGCTGAAGAGGAAACTGAGGCACAGGAAAGGCAGTAGAAATTGCAGCTTGTGGCTTCCCTGCTGTACTTGGAGAACCTCACCCTCATCCTTTTAAGGATGAGGAAAGGAAAGGAAACTGAGGCATGCCAGGGGAGAAGCAGGGTAAGGATTTTGTGGATTGGGGCTGACCCAGCAGCCCCCAGGATGACTTCTGTCCATTTTAGAGAAGCTGGAGACATAAGGGGTAGAACCTTGGTCAACTCCCAAGGCTGAAGAGGGGTGGGGGCTCTGCCTGGGTCACCCCAGGAGTCACACCAGAGTGCTCATAGGCCCTGATTCCCTTCTTTCTATAGTCTGGCTCCCCTGTGGCCACCTTCAAGCAGCACGTGGCCCCCGTGACCTCCGTTGAGTGGCACCCCCAGGACAGTGGTGTCTTCGCTGCCTCGGGTGCAGACAACCAGATCACACAGTGGGACCTGGCAGTAGAGCGGGACCCCGAGGCAGGTGACCTGGAAACCGATCCGGGACTGGCAGACCTCCCCCAGCAGCTGCTGTTTGTGCACCAGGGTGAGACGGACCTGAAGGAGCTGCACTGGCACCCGCAGTGCCCTGGGGTTCTGGTCAGCACAGCCCTGTCGGGCTTCACTGTCTTCCGCACCATCAGTGTTTGAGATGGCGGTGCAGCATCTGCACCAGACTTCCGCTTGGGAACCGAAGTTGAAGTTGGCTTCCCAGGAAGGGACTCAGATCCGCTGAACATCCCCCGTCCCAGAGGACTTTGGCCCGTTGACCGCTGTGATGGATTCTGTTTGGTTGTTCTCTGAAAAGACTTGTTTGGGTCTGGTGGCCCCCTTTTGCCAAAGGATGTAGTTTCACCCACGTCTCTGAAATTACTTGTTTTGGTCCAGTGACTCCTCCCATCAGAGGACTTGGTTTGATCTGGGGTCCTGTAAAACCACTGCATTTAATACCCAGCCCCTCCTGTTGAAGGACTCTTGTTGGTGGCACATTTCCCAGTGGGCCTGTAGCTGTGGCTGTTTTGAAAGCTGTGACACCTGGTTTGACCCTGGGACTCTGTGCGGGGACCCAGCTTGGTCGTTGGTCTCCCCTGGGAACTCAAGTGCCTTAGTCTGCCCAGATCAAGCCTAATGGAGGGTTCCTCCCAACAGTTTGCACCTTAACTTAGTAAGCCAGGTTGGGCTAGAATTTCCCAGCTTGGGTTGCTTGGGGCCTCTTTCCTGCGGAAAGGTAGGCACTGTGCAGGGAAGAGTGTCGGGGCTCCCGGAGTAAATAAAGGACCCAGAGCAAGGCCTGGTGTGTGAATGCGAGGCTTGTCCTTTTGGCTGCTGTCCTGTGTGAAACAGGAGCAGGAGGCAGGAAGGTGGCCCCCTGCTGTCCCTTGGCCACTGGGAATCCAGGCCTCGACCCACTGGGTGTTTCTTCCATTAGTTGATTGCATCTGAAACTCACTCCAGGGAGCCCCTGGAGGGCTATCTCACCTTGTGCCATCAACAGTTTATGGCTTCATGTAGGGGAAAGGAGACCCTCCCCCACCCAATCCTTTGTCCCTACCACTGTCCTCTTCACCATTATCATATCATTTCTTTGTCATTGTCCCCCCTCATCTCCACCCCAGTTGCATCCCCATCTCTCTGTGTCTCCCTGCCCTCCCCCACCCCCGTCTCCTCTGCCACTGTCTCCTCTCCTGCCTCTCCAGCTTGCTTGGGTTGCAGCCCAGCCACTCTGTCTGGCCCTTCTCCCTGGCTCCCCCTCTGCGGCTCTGAGCTGGCCCCACCCCCTGCTCCACCCCCAGGCCAGGTCTCTGATCTGCCAGTGGACACAGAGGTCGGCACCCGGCACAAAACCCCTGGGGCCAGGGACAGATCAAAGCCCCTCAGCACCCACAGAAACTTCCCCTTGGCCCTGGCATAGGAGCCCCTGGTGGAGGGCATGGGGGTGGGCTGCCCCACCAGGTAAGTGCCTCCATGGGATGCCCCTGTGTGGGTCCTGGGCCTGAGAGTCATCCCACGTCCTCTTGCCCACCCCCTGCCCCGCCATCCTCCCTTTCCTTCCCCACCTTCCTTTTCCTCAGGAACTTCTGCTGCCCCATCTCTGGCTCTTCTGACACTGTCTCCCTCACTCCCTTCCCGTCTTTTCAGTTCCTAGCATGAGGTCTTTTCCTAAGACAATCTGCCTGTCTTTTCTCCTCTGCTCTGGGTCTGTCTTCCTCTCCTCGCCACCCCCCCCACCCCATCTCCCCCCAGCCCCATTGCATTCCCCCTGAAGTGTCTTGTCCACCACTCTCACAGGTCTGCCTCTCAGCACTGCCTCTCCCTGTCCATCTCTGGGCCTCAGCATCTTTTTCAGCTTCCCTCCCCATATCCCCTTCTGCCAACCTCTGCCCTCCAACCTGTTATCCAGACCCCATGGTAGGTGGGGAGCCAGGAGAACATCCAGGGTCTTGGGAACAGCGGGGAAGTGTTTCCTTTGGGGGGATGGGAGGTGGTGGCCAAGGGGCAGGGCTTCTGGGCCTCAGATTAGACAATGACTTTGACACCAAGTTCATTCACCTTAAGCCCTGTGTCTCCTTTATATGGAAACATTAAGCTTCTCTTGCAGGTTGGGGCAGAGGTGAGGTGGGGGGAGGAGGATGACTTAAGGCTGTGGATCCTTTTCCCTCCCATCCTGCCTTTGCGGGGCAGGTGTGGGTACCCTGAGCTCCAGTCGCATCCACTGCCTGTGAATTGAGCCATGTTGGACACAGTCCCCACGCCCCCACCCCTCGTCCCGGAGGTGAAGAGCCCCATCTGGCTGTGTGTCTTGGGCGAGGGTGGGTCTGGGATTTAGGAGGCAGAGCCCTGGGTTGAAAAGGTCTCAAGTAGTACCCCATCCCTGGCACTGTGTGGGTCTGGCCAGGTTTCTGAACCTGTTCCCCAAACTGAAATGGGGCGATGGTATTGACATCCCAGTGTCCTGAGCAGTAAGGTGAACAGCAGGATCTGGTGGGCGGGCTGTGGACATTCAATGCGCAGGGTCATATGTGCACAGGGGCATGCTTGGTAAGGTGGTCTGTGGTTCAGTGATCAGGCTTTCGTACTCAAGAAGCTCAGATGGGCATTCAGTGTCATGCCCCCCAGGAACTGAGACAAGGGTTCTGGTGAGAGATGAGGGCATGTGTGTGGGGAACAGCCAGAAAGAGCTGCAGATGTAGAGGTCACAGCCTCAGCTACTAGCCTGTTCTTTTGAGGACAGTCTCTAGCACTCCAGGTAGTTAAGGGTGAACAAAAAAAATCAGGGTTGGGATGCATTGTGGGCTCAAGTCCACTCTAAGACCCTCAGCTTCATGCCATAGAATGGCCTACTAACATCCCATGTGGTCATTGGGGTGCAGGGGCCCATTGGTGTAGACCTTGATTTTGACTAACAGCCCCCTCCTTGGATCAAGTGCCCCAGCCCTGCCAAGAAGTGCATGAGGATCCCCACCGCCTGGCACCAGGGGCACCTATTACATAGGTCTTGTTAACTGTAGATGGAACTGTATACAAAATATGTAACCAACCCCTGGCCCAGACAGGTGCTAGAAGGCTCCACCATGCCAGATGTTAACCCTACAAATATAATTCACGTACCATACAATTCATACATTAGGCTCCCTGGTGGTGCAAGGCATTAAGCACTGCACTATGAAGCAATCTGCAGCCTCTGCAGCACGAGTTCAATCCCCGGCCAGCCAGGGAGAAACCCACATGGCGAGGCAGACCTCTCCTATCTCACCTGCTGCTCCCCTCTGCAGTGTACTTCAGTACATCTGCCTGTTCTGTTCCCCACTCTGTCTCTGGTGGATCCTCTCATTCCCCCTCATCTCTGGCCTGTACCCCAGCTCTTGTATGCATAAATAAATAAATCTTTAAAAAAATTCATACATTAGGGCCTCCCCGGTGGCGCAGCTGTTGAGCGCTGGGTTGCGAAGCTGCCCGCAGCCTCTGCAGCGCCGGTTCGATCCCCGGCTGCTCCCTGGCCACTGGAGGAGGGTCCCACATGGCCTGCAGACCTCTCCTGCCGCCCGCTGCTCCCCTTAGTAGTGTACTTCGGTCCTTCTGCCTGCTCTGCTCCCCGCTCTGGCTCTGGTGAATTCTCTCACCCTCCCGTGCTTCTGATTGTACCTAGTGCTTGTATAAATAAATTAATTAAATCTTTAAAAAAAAAAATCATACATTAAAGTGAAGAAAAGTTTTTTTTTTTCAGTATATTCATAGAATTGTGCAACCATACCCACATTTGAGAACATTTTCAAGAAATCCCACATCCTCTGGCTTCCCAGTTTCCCCACCTAGGCAGTCCTGCTCTCTTTTTTCAGTGTATACATTTGCCTGTTCTAAACATTTCCTAGAAATTAAAGTCCTAATAGGTGCTCCTCTGTGTCTAACTTCTTTTACTCAGCGTCATGTTCTCAAGCATTACCTGTAGCATCCATCAGAACATCATTCCTTTTCATTACAGAGTAGTTCATTGCCTGGATATTAACTAACCACATTTCATTGATTCATCCACCTGTGGGCACTTGAGTTGTTTCCATCTTTTGACTCCCATGAATAAGGCTGCTACAAACACTGTTTTGCGTGGACATGCATTTTTATTTCTCTTGGATAGATAACTACCAGTGGATCTGCTGGGTCATATGGTTCAGTCATTTAAGGGGCTGCCAGACTGCTTTCCACAGCAGTGGCACTGTTTTACCTTACATCAGTAGCGTACTGAATTCTCCACATCCCTACTAACGCTTGTTATTTTCTTTTTTTTTTTTTTTTTTTTTAAGATTTTCTTTATGCATACAAGAACTGGGGTACAGGCCAGAGGTGCGGGGGGTGAGAGATTCACCAGAGACAGAGTGGGGAGCAGAACAGGAGGATTGACTGAAATATATGCTGAGGGGAACGGCGGGCGAGACAGGAGAGGTCTGCTGCGCCATGTGGGTCAGCTCCCTGGCTGGGGATCGAATGTGCTACAGTGGCTGCGAATAGTTTTACAGGTTGCATCTTAACCCCTTGAGCCACCAGGGAGGCCCTAACACTTGTTATTTTCTTTATTATTATAGTCATCCAAAATGGGTGTGCCATCGTAGCCTGTTGTGCTTTTGATTTGTATTTCCTGATTGCTAGTCAGGTCAAACATCTTTACATATGCTCATTGGCTATTTGTCTATCTTTTTGAGAAAAAGATCAACTCAAATCCTTGGCCTTTTTTTAAATTCAGTGGTATTTTTATTTTTTTTTAAAGATTTATTTATTTATGCATCCAAGAACTGGGGTACAGGCCAGAGGTGTGGGGAGAGGGGGTGAGAAGATTCACCAGAGACAGTGAGGAACAGAACAGGCAGACTGACTGAAATACACTGCTGAGGGGAGCAGCAGGCAAGTCAGGAGAGGTCTGCTGTGCCATGTGGGTCAGCTCCCTGGCTAGCCGGGGATCGAACTCATGCTGCGGATTGCTTCATAGTGCAGTGCTTAACCCCTTGCGCCACCAGGGAAACCCTGGTCTTTTTATTAGTGAGTTGTAAGGGCTCTTTATATATTTTAGGTACACATTCTTAGATACATGACTTAAAACTATTTCTCACATTAGTGGGAGGGTCCTTTGAAGTACAAGTCTTTGAGGAACTGGAAAAGAATCCTCTTTGTGCTTTCTGAGCCTGTATTAGAATCACAGTCCATCTCAGAGCCCCAGCTCCTCTCCTCGCTCGCTCCATGCTGAGAAGCAGTTACCATTTAGTCTCTTAAGGGCATGGATGCTGGAACTAGACAGTGGGTACTCAAATCCCAGCTGACTTAGCTGTGACCTTGGGCCAGTTAAACGTTCTGTTCCTCCCTTTTCTCATCCATCAAATGGGGATCATGTCTACAAGTTGCAGGTTATGATATTCAAATATATAAATTCATGTAAAGTGCTCACTACAGCGCCTGGCACTGTGTGAATGGTGGCGTGATCATGGTGCTCACTGTAAGTAATACTGTATGGCCACATGTTGCCATGTACTGTCACGGCTGACACAGTTTAACTGTTTTGACTTTCAAGGGGAGTATCATCCTACCCACCTGCCCTATATAGTGCCTAAGTCCCAAGGAGCATGCCCAGTGAAGGAGTCCACCCCTTCCTGGTACCCCCTGACCTTGCTGCCCGCTTCTTGTCCCTGCAGGTTTGGGGCGCCTGCCCCCCACTAGGCCAAGTGGAAGGGGTGGCCCCGCCCAATGGGCCTGGCCAGGGCCCTGCGCCGCCTTAGTGGCGCCCCGGAATCAGGGAATGGACAGGCTTGCGATGAGGAGGAAGCCGGGCCGGGGCTGTGCGGCAACGGGTGGGCCCCTGCACCCTTGCCAGTGGGGCGGCGGCGCAGGCGCTTTGTCAAGAAGGATGGCCACTGCAACGTGCGCTTCGTGAACCTGGGTGGCCACGGTGCGCGCTACCTGAGTGACCTATTCACCACCTGCGTAGACGTGCGCTGGCGCTGGATGTGCCTGCTCTTCTCCTGCTCCTTCCTCGCCTCCTGGCTCCTCTTCGGCTTGGCCTTCTGGCTCATTGCCTCACTGCACGGCGACCTGGCCGCCCCACCGCCGCCTGCGCCCTGCTTCTCCCAGGTGGCCAGCTTCCTAGCCGCCTTCCTTTTCGCGCTGGAGACACAGACGTCCATCGGCTACGGTGTCCGCAGCGTCACCGAGGAGTGCCCAGCCGCCGTGGCCGCAGTGGTGCTGCAGTGCATTGCGGGATGCGTGCTCGATGCCTTTGTCGTGGGTGCTGTCATGGCCAAGATGGCCAAGCCCAAGAAGCGCAACGAGACACTGGTTTTCAGCGAGAACGCAGTCGTGGCGCTGCGCGACCACCGCCTCTGCCTCATGTGGCGCGTGGGCAACCTACGCCGCAGCCACCTCGTGGAGGCCCACGTCCGGGCCCAGCTGCTGCAGGTGCTGGGCTGATCTGGGGCAGGGCCACGCCCCCTAGAGGGAGGCTGGAGTTAGAACCCTGGGGGATTGTGGGAGATATAGGTCGAAGGGTGGGATGTCCTTGCACCTGGAGGGTCCACAGACTACAGTTTGCAGCAGTCTCCCGGGCACCGGCCCTCCCTCTGCCCCTTTTGGACAGAGCTGTATTTCTGGAGTTGTGGGAGATGTATACCCAAGAGGGAGGTCTGTGACTAGTTCTTACTGGAGGCATGGACTTGAATTGCTGACTATGGCTTGAGGCCAAGCTCCAATGGGATTGCCCGTGATGTAGGCCTGAAGATGGTGTGCTGCTCACACCTGCAGAGCAGTGGAACCCAGTTCTTCATGGCCTCTGAGCCTGGGGTCCCTGTGCATTTGTGGGAGAATTCATTCCCCTCCTCCAGAGGCCAGTCTCTTCCACCAGCCTCCTTTTTTAGAGGAGTACAGGGTGGGGGTTGGGAAACACTCTTCAACTGTACCTACTTAGCAAAAAACTACAACTCTCATTGGTCCCTTGGGTGCCCTGAGAAAGGTGCCTTAGTGTTTCTAGAATCATGGTCAAACTGCCCAAACATCTCCACAGCCACAGAACTTCAGGACATAGCTTCCCTAGCCCAAATGTTGACATTTAACAACCCTGGGCTGAGGCTGGACTTGGGTGAAGAGACCAGTGGTAGTGGAAACTTTAAGTCCAAGGAACATCTAAGGTCTCCCTGAGACAGTTACAAGAAGTCCATCTCCTGCACTGAGACACCAGGATTCATGGTCAGGAGGGACACTGTCTCTCCCAGAAAGCTGTGGGTGCTGCTACAGGCTGGGAGGTGGGGATGGAGTTAGTGGGGGTGATGTAGGAACTATCGATACTTAGCCTAGGGAGGGCATATCACCCCCCATACAAACAAACACATGTACACACAATGGGATGGAGGAGTTTGTAGTTGGTTTGGGGGTGTGGATAACCCAGGGGCTAGCCTGAGACATTGGAGAATGCAGGGTATTGGGCCTAGATTGCCATCGTGGTTTATCTTACTCTAGCAACAGACTGAAAGGCATTTTTCTCTGCCTCTGTTCCTTCTCCAATTGCCTTTTGTCCTTCTGTTGCCTCTTGAATTCTGCCTCTGCCTTACTTTCTGGGGCCCTATGCCATTATTACCTGGTCCCGCTTTCTTCCCCTCTGGTATCTATCCCCAAATCCTATTTGTATCTCTTGGCCTCCATCCCACTCTCCCTAATTGTCTGTCCCCCTCTCTCTGGAGTCACCATCATCCTCTCCCTGGGCCCATGTTTTTGCACCATGCCCATTCTTGCTCGCTTTTGCTGTATTTCCTTCCCTTTTACTCTCTACCTCTGTTTCCATTCATCTCTGTACACTGCTGCCTGTCTTTGGTCCCCCACCTTTTCCTGCAGCCTCGAGTGACCCCAGAGGGTGAGTACATACCGCTGGACCACCAAGACGTAGACGTGGGCTTTGATGGTGGCACCGATCGCATCTTCCTCGTGTCTCCCATCACCATTGTGCATGAAATTGACTCTGCCAGTCCTCTGTATGAACTAGGACGTGCTGAGCTGGCTCAGGCTGACTTTGAGCTAGTGGTCATTCTCGAAGGTATGGTTGAGGCTACGGCTATGACTACCCAGTGTCGCTCCTCCTATCTCCCTGGTGAGCTGCTCTGGGGCCATCGGTTTGAACCAGTCCTCTTCCAACGTGGCTCCCAGTATGAGGTCGATTATCGCCACTTCCATCGCACTTATGAGGTCCCAGGAACACCTGTCTGCAGCGCCAAGGAGCTGGATGAACGGGCAGAACAGGCTTCCCACAGCCCCAAGTCTAGCTTCCCTGGCCCTCTGGCTGCATTTTGTTACGAGAATGAACTTGCTCTGAGCTGCTGCCAGGAGGAAGAGGAGGAAGAAGAGGCCAATGAGGGAGATGAGGCAGAGGCAGAAGATGGCGCTGCCAGCCCCCGAATGCTCACACCAACGCTGGCACTGACTGCCCCCATGATGTGAGGTGGTGCCTGCCATTTGACCCTTTTCCCAGCTGTAGCAAGATGGAGAGACTAGGCTCACTCCTGGGATCCGGGCAGGTGTTTTCTACAACTGACAGCCCTGATGGGTAGGTGATTAGCTGGTGAGGTTCTGCCATTGCCTGATGGACCCACCAGGGAAATACGAAACCGTGATTCCTCTGCGTACTATGCTGTCTCCTGAGATCTCTTTATCACCTCGATTCCTGAGTCTCACCAGAACTGAAGGACCCAGAATTCTGGACCACCCAAGAGGCAGAGACTGTGGTTCTGGATTCTCCTGTATGACTGGTTTGGGTAGTTGAGCAGGGTTGGGAATCGATGATATAGATTACCTCCAAGAGAGGAAGTCAGTAATGCTTGAGCAGCAACAGAGATCAATAGTTTATAGGTGTGGAGCCAAGGGACTAGTGCTACTAGACTCAGCCAATCAAGTAGTAAAATTTTTTTTTGACCACCTAAGAAGAAAAGTTATGAAACGCCCCAAGTATTCAAGACTATCATGGTTGACCAATGACAAGGAACGTTAATTACAAGTGAAGAAAAGAACTTGTGGTTCCAGAAAGCCCAGGAGTTTTGATTCAGTGACTGTAGATAGACCATTGAAGCAAGCACTGGTGATTTTAGAACAGTTTGACCTAGAGAGTCAAACTGTTCAGAAACTAAACTACTTTAGAAACTAAAGAATTACGCTTTCGAATGCACAAAACAATGATCCTGTGGGTCTAGAAGGACCGAAGTAAGAGATTGGGAATTCTTGATATTAGACCATTAGCTGTAGACTACCCAGCCAAGTAGATAATCAATACTTCTAAATGATCCAAGGGTTTTTTTTTTTTTTTCTTTTAAGTGCCATTCCAGAAAATCCAAAGGAATCAAGATTCTGTGGCTCTGTCTGGATTGCATGGAAGGAGTAGCAATTCTAGAGGTCTGAGATTTGCTGATTAAAGTTTACCCAATGGAGTTGAGATGATGTTGTGGTTGTGTAATGCCAAAAGGAATCAAGTCCCCAGGGATCCAGAGTTGTCTGTAATCAAAGTCTTTAAGTTCTAAGAAGTGGATTCAGGACTTGAGAAACAGCATTTCTGGGCTGACCTATAAGGTGAGGGCCCAGGGAAGACTCTGGGTAACAGGGCCAGTTGGTGGGCAAAGACTGGTAAGTCTCCAGTACTCTGGAATCCTATGCCTAGTCATGTGTGTCTATGTGTCTATTTCTTAAAGATATCATATGTGTGTGTGTGTGTATTGTATATATATAAATACAGACATCTATTTATTCCCCTAGTTTCTGCACAAGGGTCCAATGTTAAACTTGAGCTAACTGTCATAGAATCCTTTACAAGGATCCCTGAAGCTTTGCTCTGAATCCCAACTTTCTGCTTGACTTTGGGCAAGTTACTGCATTCTCCTGCCTCGGTTTCCCCATCTGTAAAAATGAGGCATTGGAACTTGAAATTTTCCAAGGACTTTTCCGCCAGGATGATTCCTCCATTCACTGAGGGTGGCCGGAGGGGGGAGGGAGGTGAGGCACCTGGGGATTCCCCATCTCTCCCTGGTGCTGGAACATGTGGCTTTCCATGGACAGCTGGGGTGTGGGAAATGCCCTTGAAGCTCAGAATCTGGCAGGTAAGGGATTGTGTGGGCTGTGGTTAAGGGCCAGAATCACCTCCCCATTCAATTTGGTGGGGGGGTCGTAGGGGAAAGAGGAGGTAGCTTTGAATGCCAAAGGCGAGTACATGTCTGGGGGACACCTCGCCCCAGATTAAATCATTGGGAGCCATGGTGGTGTGTCTGTGAGTGTTTCTGGGGCATGGTCCCTGGGTCTGTCCCCTGCCCATGCTGCTATCTACCTAAGTGCCCAACAGGCTGGGAGCCAGCCGCAGAAAGAGACTGTGCCAGGAGGAGGACACGTTCCCACCATGTCCCAGGACCGAGAGCAGCACTGTCATTGCTCATCAGTCTGCCCCAGTGCTGCATCAACCCAGATCCCCTCTTCTGGCTTTCCCACCTCCCTTTATCCTTCAGAATCCCCTTGTAATACAGGATGGGATTAATTAGCTACTCTCCCTGCCCAGGGTGTCTGGGATAGAGAGGGGGGCAATGGAAGTGCAGATATGGATGTGGGGCAAAGGAACAGGAAAAGTGTTTGGAAGGGAGGAGGCATGACAGCCCAGATTTCTACTGGGGAGAGCAGAGCCTTGGCTGCTCATAAAGGTCAGTGAGGGAATTAGGAAACTCCATGTCTAATACATCAGTTTAACCAGGTCCTGGCCTTGAATCCATCCCCAAACTGCCTAGCCAGGGACAGCCAACGAGGACAAGGACCAGACGCCACTTCAGACCCGATTAGGAACCTACCCATGACAGGGGTGCCCAGGTTCTCAATTCCAGCCAGGCCCTTGCACTAGCTGTGACTAAGAGGAGAGGGAGTGGGGGGAAACAACCTGATATGAGAGGATTCTGAGATGAGGGAGGAATTTAAGAAGAGTATGGGAGGAGGGGACAATATGAAGTGAGGTGAGCTGGAGAAGAGGGGAAAAGCTTTGAGAAGGGAGAAGACTCAGTGGGAGAAAGCTGAGGAAAGGGACGTTGTCTTAGGGGGCAGATGCTAAGCTAAGGGGAGTTTTGGGAAGAGAGAGAGGAGCCTGGGAAGCACAAGGCTCTAGGAAGGCCAAGCCTTGCTCTCACTATATTTGACCTTCCCCGGTCCCATTCCCCATGACAGATAACAAATAGGGAAGTATTTGTGAGGAGTAAGTCTTTTGTTTCACCACTACTTGACTCGGTAGAGGCCGAGGTGTTTGGAGACTTGTGGGGGCATAAGAAAAGGGTCTTGTGATTGAAGGGGCCAGGAAGAAAGGCCCCAGAAAGTTGAACCCAAACCGCTCCCAGTTGCCTGGCAACTGCTACAGTCAAAAGCTCGGAGGTGTGGCTCACAGAAACAACTGGCAGCTGTGGCCCCGCCCCTTGCCAACAAGACGAACAGAGCACCGCCCCCCAGCAACGCCTTACAAGAGGCGGGGCTCAGTTGTAATGGTATCCAAAAGCCCAGAGCCTTTGCGCAGGCGCAGTCCTCTCTACTTCCGCACCGTCCCCACTTACAGGCAACTCCTTGCCGAGGCTTCTCATTGGCGGGCCAGGCAACAAAATGCCCTCTTTTGTTTCGGAGGCGGGGCTCGAATCCCCACCCGCACCCGATTGGCCCTACAGACCGTCTACCTCCCACCGGACAGGGTTACGTTTGCTCCTTGTGCGCCTATTGGCCCTTGAGAGCGAACCTTCGGTGTCGGGGGCGGAGCAAGCGAGAGAGCCTGTCATGGATTGGACGGTGTCAAAACGGGGGGCGGGCCCTACTGGCGGGGCGGTTGGGCGGCGCAGGGAGAGTCTTTTCAGCGCTGAGGACTGGCGCTGAGGAGGCGGCGGTGGCTCCCGGGGCGTTTGAGCGGGCTCATCCGAGCCCGCGGGCCAACGCGGATCCAGGCCCGACCGGCGGGACTGCCCCGGACTCGCCGCGGGCCTTCCTGGCCGCCATGGAGGACGGTGTCTATGGTAGGTCGGCGGGGGCGGGGCTGGCTGGGAGCGGGCGCTTTGGCCCGGAACGTTCCGCGGCGCACGTTCCCCGCGGCGCGCCGCGCGCAGCCTGTCGGGCCCCGTTGTCTCTTAGCTTTTGTGGGGCGCGGGGCCGGCTTCCGGCGGCGCCGGAATCGGGGCGTTCCAGGCCATTGTTTGGGCCGAGTCTGTTTCCGGTGGCGGTGGGAGGGGGCGGGAGGGAGCGATGGAGACGAGGCCGGGACGGAACCATTCCCGCTGGGGGGGCCGGGCGAGCCCAGTGCCTGCTGCTGGCTGCGGGCCGGGGGCTGCTGGGACCGCTGGGGTCGTGGGGAGCAATCTTGGGGCCACGGAAACTCGGCTGAGGCGGGGGCGGAATCCTTCGATGCCCCGCCCCCTTGTCATCAGCTTCCCCTCTTACAGTTCCATTTCATGAACCCGAGAGTCCCGGACACCCAGACCCGTCTTTACTCAGTGCCCACGAGCCCACGCCCCCAGCTACTTCACCGGGAATGGAGGCAGAACAGCAAGATTTCATACCTCGTCCAAGTAATGGACCTAGAAGTTCAGACTCCCAGTCCTTTCTTTCAGGCCTGAGTTCAGGCTCTCAGCTCCTTGCTCCCTTAGTCTCAAGAGTCCAGACTCTGACTCCCCTCTTGCTCAAGATTCAGGAGTCTAGATACTTGGCCCTCCCACGAGTAAGGGATCCCAGCCCAACCCTCATATTCACCTCCCCAATCTAGGGGTCCTGCCCACCCCCAGCCCCGTGCTCCCCCAGATTGCAGGAATTCAGATTCTCAGTCCCCAGAACTGAACTCCAATCTTTGATCCCGGCCCCCAGAGCCCCCAGACCTGACTCCGGAGGAGCGGATGGAGCTGGAGAACATCAGGCGGCGGAAACAGGAGCTGCTGGTGGAGATCCAGCGCCTCCGGGAGGAGCTCAGTGAAGCTATGAGCGAGGTGGAGGGTCTGGAGGCCAATGAGGGCAGGTGAGGGCTGGGGCAGAGAACTTTGGGGTGATGAGGCCAGGCCAGGGCCACAGAGGGCTCAGGCATTGACCATCCATTCCCCGCTCTCTGCCACTGTAGTAAGACCTTGCAACGGAATCGGAAGATGGCAATGGGCAGAAAGAAGTTCAACATGGACCCCAAGAAGGTACTTGAAGCCACAGGGCTGGGTTCAGTCAGGCAGATATCCAGGCAGGGGGTCTTGGCTCTTCCAGGTTCCAGAAGTATGTATGTTGGTTAAAGGCCTACCTTAGGTGGACAAACTTGGTCCTAATCCCAGCATCCAGGTACTGGTTTTTTTGTTCTCTGAACATTAACCAAGATTTCCAGCCTCCTGAACTTTGCTTGTACTGTATGCTTTGTCTTGGAGTTCCTCTTCCTCTTTCTGCTCATACTTCTGGACCCACTTCCCAGTGTCACCTACAGTCCCAGGAGGAGCTTGAGTCTGGTGGAGAACAAAGAAGGGTTTACCGGTGCCAGGATAGAAAGATGGTATCAGGGCCTCGACATTCAGAGGAGGGAGCTTGATGGCATCAGGGTGGATTTCCTTGAGGAGGGAACATTCAGCTGAGGTTTGAAGGATGAGTCTATTCACCAGGTGGAGGGAAGATGTTTGTTCATTCAGATAGTCATTTATACCCATTTCCTCAGGCCTTCTTGGTGCCTGTCCCTGTGCTGGGCAACACTGGGGACCCAGAGAAGAGTTTGGCCCTTGGACAGAACACCACAATCCAGAGTGATCTATAACTGCAGTGAAGGTCCCTACTGCATAGGGAAACCTGAGAAGCCCTAGTCCAGCCTGAGACTTGATCCTCACAGCCCTTGATGGACTGCAGTCTACCAAAGTTATTCACTTTATTCTCACCCAGAGCAGTTGTAGTTTGTTTAGTCATTCAGCAAACATCAGTTCCTGTTCCTTGCTAAACCCTGTTCTTGGTGCTGGAACTATCTAGACAAAGACAGAGGGAATAGTAGGTACAAAGGCTATGAGGAGGGAGGGATGGAAGTTTAGGACCTGGGAGGAGACTGAAAATGCAGGCTGGCCCTCCTCTATTAAGGGTATGGGCCTCCCTGGTAGTGCAAGGGGTTAGGTCTTAGCACTATCAAGGTAGCCACTGCAACATGAGTTTGATCCCCGGGCAGGGAGCTGACCCAATCGCGCAGCAGACCTCCCCTGTCTCACCTTCCGCTCCCCTTAGCATTGTATTTCAGTCAGTCAGCCTGTTCTTTTCCCCACTCCTCACTTTGTCTCTAGTGGATCCTCTCACCCCCCGCATCTCTGGCCTACGCCCCAGTTCTTGTGTGCATAAATAAATTTTTTTTTAAGTGTTTAAAAAAAAGGGTATGGGTGGGTTTGATGCTAAGGTTGCCAGGGAGGTGGGGGGAGTGATTTTCTGGCCCTCGGCACTGACACCTGTCCCTACCCACCAGGGGATCCAGTTCTTGGTGGAGAATGAACTTCTGCAGAACACACCCGAAGAAATTGCTCGCTTCCTGTACAAGGGTGAGGGCCTGAACAAGACAGCCATCGGGGACTATCTGGGGGAAAGGTGAGACCCCTTCTCATGGCCCTGTGTCCACTTCTGCTCTCACACCCCCAGCTCCTCTCCTTTCAAGACAAGACCTTGACAGATCAGTCTCCTGACTGGATTCAGAAGAAAGGATTGACCCAGGGGTCTGGGGGAGTGTGGGGCATCTGGGGATGTGGGGACTATCTGGGAGCATCTGGGAGCCCTGAGGACCTTCTTGTGGCCATTTGGGAAGTATGGGAATTGTCCATTTATGTGTGGAAACAGTGGAGAACATCTGAGTGTTTTGGGATTGTCAGAATCATGTCTGGTCACCTGGCCTGCATGGGAGCTGTGTGGACAGCTTAGAAGTATGGGGACCGTCAGTGGATAACTGGGGAGTATGGGGACCCTGTGAACATTTTGGGGTTTGAGGACCATCAAAAAACTAGGGTACATGACACCTGGACATCAGGAGTGTGTGGGGACCATCAGTGGATGTCAGGGGTCCCAAAGGGTTTATGGACATCTGGGGTGCTTGGAGACCCCCTGTGGATGTCAGGCACGTGGAGGCTGTCTAAACATTAAGGTGATGGGGACCTTCTGTGAAGTCTAGGAAACTAGGGGCCCATCTGAAAGTGTCTGGGGTGTGTAGAAACTGGATGTCTGGGCCACTTTGGGACTTTGTGGCCCTGTGGGGTGTGTGGAACTTTCTGGATATCTGAGGTGCCTGGGGACCATCCGTGGAGATCTGTGATGTATGGGGACTGTCTGTTGATGTCTAAGAACTGTCTCTTCGTTCAGGTATTTGAGGACCATCTGTACATATCTGGGGTATTTGGGGACTGTTAGTGGATATCAAGGGGGTGTGGGGCTTGTGCAGATATCTGGAAACCATCTGTAGACGTCTGGGATTTGTGGGTACTGTCCGTGGGAATCTGGGAGCCATTTTGACATTTGCGGAACCTGGGATCATGTGAGAGAGCTGAGGGTAGGCAGAGGCCACATTTGCTGCATTTTCCCCAACTGTACAAACCAGGGTTCTTGCAGCAGATGGCCCTCCCAAGAGTGAGTCTCAGTGTCCTTGCCTCAATGCCAGGCTTGTGATGGGGACTGGGCCAAAGTTTTACCTGCAGCAGAGGCAGCTGCTGTGCTGACAAAGTGGACAGTCTCCCCAGTACTTTGCCTCCTGCCAACTCCTGCCTCCTCATACTCTTTCCTGTATGTGACTTTGTCCCTGTCCCCCCAGGGAAGAGCTTAACCTGGCAGTGCTTCATGCCTTTGTGGATCTGCATGAGTTCACAGACCTCAACCTGGTGCAGGCCCTCAGGTAAGAAGGGTGAGTGTGGCTGAAAGGGCAGGCAGGAGTGTACCTTCACGTTTGCCTTACAAGTGATGAATCCTACAAAAGAGAAACAAAAATTAGGGAACTGATTGCTTCTGCAACATATAAGTTCACCATAGGGCCTCCTTCAGGCATAGCTATGTCCAGGTGTTCAAATGGTATCAGAAAGTGAACTTTTTCCAGCTCCTGGTTGTGCTTGTTACTGTGCTGGCATCACAGAAGCCCCAATTACCTTTGAGTTTCCTTTGCTTGAAGAAGGAAGCTATTTCCATGTAAATCTACCAAAGTCTCATGGCCAGTGCTCATGGATCAGATTGGATCACATGCCTCTTTCTCAGCCAGCAACTAATGGCCTGTTCATTCCTAACACCGGAACTGAGAGTGGGGAGGGCTCTACCAGCATGGCCATCCTCACTGGCCCCTCTTTAACCCAGGCAGTTCCTCTGGAGTTTCCGCCTCCCGGGAGAGGCGCAAAAGATTGACCGGATGATGGAAGCCTTCGCCCAGCGATATTGCCTGTGCAACCCTGGGGTTTTCCAGTCTACCGGTAGGGGCTTGAAATCCTGGGGTCTGGGCAGGAGGGTGCTGGGGCCCACAGGCTGACACCGTTATCTGACGTCACTGTCTGGTGCAGACACGTGCTATGTGCTGTCCTTCGCTGTGATCATGCTGAATACGAGCCTCCACAACCCCAATGTCCGTGATAAGCCTGGCCTGGAGCGCTTTGTGGCCATGAACCGGGGCATCAACGAGGGTGGAGACCTGCCTGAAGAGCTGCTCAGGGTCAGTCCCCTTCTCTGCACAGCCCCTCATTTGTCCTTCTGCCTGCCTACCCATGGGTGTCCCAGAACCAGAGCCTTCCCCCTGGGATTCTTACCCAAGCACAGAGGGTGTGGCTATGCCAACTTGTGTCAACTGTGTGTCCTCCATCCTGCTGTCTCTCGGGTCCTCTCACTTTGAGTGTCTTGGTGGGTCTGTCTCCTTCTTCACCTGTCTGGCTGTTTCTCTGAAAACTGAACTAGCTTTTCAGCTGTTTGTCCCTGTCTCTTTTCTTTTTTCCCTCCTGTGTCCTCCCTGGGACTCCCTCCCTCTTGTCTTCTGCTTTCCTTTCCTCCCCAGTCTCTTTTTCCGCCCTCCCTCCCTGGTCTCCTTGCTTCCCTGGCTGCTGGAGCATCCTCATCTCCCCTGGCAGCCCTGGGCGGGTCCAAGTGCCTTGAGGTTGCTGATGGTGCCTTTGCCCCTCAGAATCTCTATGATAGCATCCGGAATGAGCCCTTCAAGATTCCAGAAGATGACGGGAATGATCTGACCCACACCTTCTTCAACCCAGACCGGGAAGGCTGGCTCCTTAAGCTGGGTACGTTCCCTCATGACTCCATGGGCTATCTCTGGAGGGAACTTAGTGGGCCCAGGCTCAGTACTTGGCTTCCACATATCTGCTGTGTGACCTTAGGCAAGTGACTGGACTTCTCTGAACCTCAGTTTCCACATCTACAAAATGGGGCTGAGAACATTTTGGACCTAAGCACAGGACCTGGCCCAGAGAAGGGGCTCCATAAACCTTTGTGCGTGAAGGGCCCAGCTAGGGTGCATCCCAGGGATGGGATGGGTGAGTGACGCCAGTGCACCTTGAAACCCATGACACCTGTAAGTTCAGGTCAGTTAGCAGGTTTCCCTTTCATGGGTTTATTTGAAGATGAGAGTGGTCCTCGGCCCTGTCTATGGCACCATCACCTGGAAGCTTTGCAAACCCCACTGGTAAGGCCAGACTCTGGAAGTCAGGATTGGTGGATCAGCATCGGCCATCACCATCAGTCCTGTTAAGAGCTCCCCAGCTGCCTCCCGTGCACAGCCAAGGTCTAAAGCCACTGACTTGGCACCATGCCTGATAATGGCAGATGTGGTAGAAATGTTAGTCTCTTAATGAATGACCACTCCAAGGGGACAGTGGAGGCGGCCAGGGTAGCAGGAGGGAGCTTCCAGCTCCAGGTATGACTTTATTTCCTTCAGGTCTCCCCCCCTTCCATGTAGAATTGGTCTTAAGCGAAGACCTGGTTTCCCTGGCCAAAGATGTCCTGGTATCCTAATCCCCCCAAGCAAGTTATACTTTCTTGCCAATACACTAGGGAGCATGCATTCTGCATCAGCTTCAGAAGGTAGTAGGTTTGGGGTGGGGGTTAGATTTTCTGAGGCCTAACGGTGCCCCTGGCTGTGAGAAGGCAGGAAGAACTTCAAATCCCAACCCTGCCCAGTAGTAGGCATCCTGCACCATGAGAATGTTGGGGCTCAGTAGCAGTCCAGCAGCCACAAGGCAGAGGTGGCCTTGGACCCCGAGCTCTAACCAGAGTGCATCTTTGTACTTGGTGGCAGCCAGAAAAGGTGCCTTGCCTTAAAGGACTAATTCCACAAAGGGAACTGGTGACTGTAATATTGGCAAAGCCATTATTACCATTATTACTGATGTTATTTAATCCTTCTGGAACCAAAAGGAACCCAGAAGAGGTTCTCTTGAAGCAGGAAGCTGTGGTCTCCAGACTGGAGAAACCAGGTCTCCAGACTGGAGCCCAGAAAGGGCAGGAGGTGGTCTTGAGGTCACACAGGCAGATTGTACTGGGCGGAGCTAGATCCCACTCCAAGAACATCAGGGGGGGTTTGTCCTCCCATTTGTGGGGAGAGACCTCTTCACTGTGGCAATGAAGGGCTCTCCTGGCCTAGAGGCCTCTAAGTCCTGGGGCCGGGGCAGGGGCAGTGGACTGAGGGGGGGCCAGAGCCCAGCACTGCCTCGAGGTGTTTGGAGGCCACTGCCGTGGGACTCAGGACCCTGGACCTCCCCAAGAGGGAGAGGGTCTGGCCCTTTCCCCCTCATGTGGATGTAACTGGTTTTCTTCCCTTTCTCTCCCTCCCTCCCTCCCTCCTCCTCCATGTCTCTCTGTCCCACCCCCACTCTTTCCTTCCCTCATCCACCCTATTTCTGTTGCCTGTGGCTCTTGGGGGCACCCCATTCTTCTGCCTTCTCTTCCTCGCCTGGTCCTGCCTGCTTTCTCGCTGTCTGCCCCAGGAGGTAGGTTCACGGCCCATCTTCTCTCCCCAACACTATACCAGAGGAGGGGCCTCTAGGAGGAGGGGGTTGGGGCTGAGACAGGCTTAGAAAGCCTAGGGCGCTGCACTGGGGGTGGACCAGTTCCCGAGCCCAAACACGCCTGTCCCTGCTTGTCTGTCTCTTCCCACGCGTTGCTTTGTCCTGGGTCCCAGAGCCCAGCCTCCCTGCTATTCTACCGCTCACTCCCCTCCCCGCCCCCCCCCAGAGGCCCTGTCCCCCCTGTTGAGCCCAGGCCCCCTCCCACCCCTTCCCTTTCAGGGGGCCGGGTGAAGACCTGGAAGCGGCGCTGGTTTATCCTCACTGACAACTGCCTCTACTATTTTGAGTACACAACGGTGAGGGCTGGGCTGCCTGTGATCTAGAGTGCTGGGAGGAGGGGCTGGGTGTCTGTACTCCTGCATCTGGAGGAGGAGGGAGGCTGGGGGCTAGACTTCTGGGTCTGAGGGAGGAGGGGCTGGGGTGAGCATTTGAAAATTGAGTTCTGTCCTACTTGATCCTCCAGGACAAGGAACCTCGAGGAATCATCCCCCTGGAGAATCTGAGCATCCGAGAGGTGGATGATCCCCGGAAACCGGTAAGACCCTCTGTCCCCCTTTCTGTCGTGGGATGGGCCCTCTGATCCTGGGACTTGGCTCTCACTTGTCATTCTTCCTCTCCCATGTCCTCCAGAACTGCTTTGAGCTTTACATCCCCAACAACAAGGGGCAGCTCATCAAAGCCTGCAAAACGGAGGCTGACGGCCGAGTAGTTGAGGGGAACCACATGGTGTACCGGATCTCCGCCCCCACGCAGGAGGAGAAGGATGAGTGGATCAAGTCTATCCAGTGAGCCTGGGCTCCAGGGGTCCTTGGAAGGAGGGGGTCAAGACTCCTTGGTCCTCACCATTTTGTCCCTCCCCTTCTGCAGGGCAGCTGTGAGTGTGGACCCCTTCTACGAGATGCTGGCAGCAAGGAAGAAGCGAATTTCTGTCAAGAAGAAGCAGGAGCAGCCCTGACCCTCTGCCCCCACCCCATTATTTATTAGGGAGCTGCCCCGCCCGGGTGGCCGGACCCCTGGGCTCTGGGGCTACAGATCCTGGTTTCCCCATTTGGAAAAACCACCACCTTTCGCTCCTCTCTCCTTTGTAATTAACATGCTGTTGGTAATCTTATTAATTATTTAACCACTGGCGGCCTGCGTACCCTCTTATTTTTTGAGGTTGACAGCTGAGGTGCTTGGTAGAGTTGGCCCATCAGCCCTGTCAGTGACCAAGCCAGGGGAGCTGTGGCCTGTTCCTGCCCCCTCTGTTGCTGGATTTCACAAGAAGGAGCAGGTGCTGGCAACCCCCAGAGCCAGCACAGAGGTTAAAGGGAGTTGCTGAAGGCAGCTCCAGGAAGTGACGAGCGTGGAGTTAGAATTGTGCAATGATTTATACAGGTATAGGAGGCCAGGGGTGAGGGCTGTCCCTTGACCACCAGGAGCCAGATGCCCACCCCCTCCATTGCTTTCAGGGGGTTTATAGTCTTTGAGTGGTGACAAATGCTGGGAGCTGTGCTCATTGCTTAGAGGGACAATGGGAGCTAGAAGAGCTCTGGTTGAGGAGAATGAATTGGAAGTGAAGGAAGAAGGCCTGGGGACTGTTGAAATGGTTGGGAAGGTCTTGTTGCTGTGTGAGCCAGGGGGTTGCTAGTGTCTTGAGTGAGCTGGAAGTGGCTTGGGACCAGGTAGCAGTGGCAGTGGTGGGTGTTTGGGGCCAATATGGTAGGTCTGCAGCAGGTGGAGTAATTGAGAGTTTCTCAGCCACCAGAGGGTCATCCTTTGGGGGAGATTTTTCACCAACCGTAAACAACCCTGAGAACTTGCCTTTTTCTAACACCACCTTTGCCAGGAGTCCGACAGCCTCTGAAGTATGAAGACAGCAAACTTTGTGGTGGGGGTGTCTCTATGCCCCAGTCTGGGCCCATTTCTCCCCCCTCCCCCATTTATCCTCCACCTTGTACAGGCAGAGTGTCCCCCAGAGAAGAGCGGTTCCAGGACCCTGGGGTGGCTTGGTAGGTTGGGAGACTCCCGTGTCGCCTGCGCCCAGCTCTGCTGCTGAGGGCTCTGTCAGCAAGGGAAACCACACTTCCGACACGCCAGATTCAGACCCTGCTGAAAGAATGAGCCGGTCGCCCTAGGCTTGCCCGGAGCTGCAGTTGCTCCCACACACTGCGAGCCCTGGGATCGTTGAGTGCACCCGGTGGGAAGCGTCCTGAATGTCCAGCATTGGTCCGGGCCCCATTCTTGGCTGGTGGCGTTCAGTGCGAAGGAGCGGAGATCGCCAAAATACAGCCATCCGCAAAGGTGGCGTGTCCCTCCTTGCAAGAAACCTTTGGACTATAATTCCCAGGAAGCACTGCGGCGCTGACCGTTCCACGTGGGGGGCGGAGATCTAGTTTCGAGGTCTTCTGGGAGTTGTAGTTTATCAAGACTTGACTGTCGGGTTTGCAGTAGCTTGGTCTAGCCCATTGGGAAAGCGATCCTGCTCTCTCTTCAACTCCAGAGGCTGATGGGAAATGGACTTTCCAACTCCTCCCATGGTTCAGGAGAATGGAGTCATCAACCCAAAAAGGTCATGGAAAAGGAGGCCCCTGAATAAATACTAGGGTCCCACGACTAACCTTACCCTGCCCTCCTCCATGGAGTGAACCCATAGGTGAGTCTGGGCTGGATTTTCTGGTCTTAAAGTGACCCAGTTCCCATAGCATCCTTACCCATTACCTTATCTGTTCAAGCCTCCCAAACTTGCCTCCTGGGCAAGGAGTAGGGGCTTAGTTTTTAACTTTATTAAACGATAACCCTGACAATAGGTACTGAGCGACAGCTAGTAGGGGAAACAGTGGCTTGGTGAAGGTGTACGGAAATGCATTGGCTGTGGAGGAAATGGGTGTGTGAAAGGTGGGTGTGGTATGCTGTGTTAGTCACTGGGTACAGCAGGCTGGTGTGTCCCTGTGGCCACGACTGGGGGAGGTAGGGGGATGGGAAATGAAAGGTACTTGAATGGAAGTTGGGGGCGGGACCTCTGGCTGCTTTTTAAGGAGAGTAATTTGGAACTGAGCAGGGGTGGAAGCAGGTGCCCTTCACCTTCACGTCCCTCAAATATGCAAATGAAGTTGGCAGCAGGTAATGGTAGTCATCCTTAGAGGTAAAGACAGAGCCCAAGACCAGATTAGTCAAGAGCTGAGGAGACAGGAAGGCGATAGGGGGAGACAGGGGGGAAAAAAAAAAGAGGGAAGAGAAATAGATAGGAAGAAGGCTGAGAGAAGAGGCTGGCAGGAGAAACTGGGAACACCCAGCCAGGTGGAGTGGGGAAGTGGGTCAAGATGGAGCAGGAACCGAAGGGACAAAAGCAGGGATATGTAGTAATGGAAGAGACCAGAATATCACGGAGGTGGGCCCTGACTTGGGGAAGCAGGTAAAGGGAGGCAGAGCAGCAGGGGCAGCCCCTGGAGGGATAGGCAGGTTGTCCTGAGGTGTGGAGGATGTGGTCAAGAGCCCCTGTACCCAGGCAGGTCATTTCTGGGTGCTCTATCACGAGACCATAACCTGCCACCTTCCCAATCTCTGCTGACTCCATGTAGCCTCTTGGAACTGTCTCTCAAGGACACAGATGAAGCTGGGTTGGCAGTACCAGACCCAGAGATGGATTACAGAGAAGCCGGCCATTTCTGCCACTTTGAGACTTGCTTTCCATCCATCAGACGGGGTGCTGAGGTTGGCAATTCTTTCTGCAAAGCCTCCCCTCTCTGCCCCCCCCCAAACACACTGAGGCCCCAGGTTCCTCCAAAAAGTTGTTTTTGTCTTTTTTAAATAATGTGAAAATGCCACGCGAAGGTTTGAACTGGAGGCCCCTCCAGGGGCTGGGCTGGGCTAGGGAAGGAAAGGGGAGTCGCGAGATGGGGGGTCCAGGTCCCCGAAGCTTGCAGCCCCTGCCTGGGGCCAGAAGTGGGTGAGGAGGGGCCTCCACTGTGCCGAGGGGCTCCAGGCCCGAAAGTTCAGTTCAGTTCCAGGAAAGGAGGCTCTCCAGGAAAGAGTGAGGGGCTTCCTGCCTCATTTGGCACCAAGGGGATCAGGGGGGTCAGGGGAGCCATCCGGGGGGCTGGGGGATGGGGGGCCAGGGCCTCCCATTTGGCACATGGTGGGGGAGGGGGAGGGCCCAGCCTCAGGGGCCTCCCCGGAGGCGGTGTCGGTGGGGGTGGCAGTGGCTCCGTTGTCCACAGAGGATTCTACTCTCAATCCCTCTTCTGGGGGTGCAGGGGGGTAGCGACTTTGGGGAGTCAGTTCTCCACGGGGCCTGAGGACAGAGGGAGTGGAGAAACGGAATTAAAGAACAAACAGGTGCATGGTTTCTGGCCCAGTCAAAATGAAGCAAAGCCCTCCCTCACAAGGCTCTGTGAGAGCTGTTCCCGCTCTGCTTCAGCCATAGGCGCCAAGCACAGTCCTGCCTCAGGGCCTTTGCACTTGCTGTTCCCACAATCTGGTTCACCCTTTCCTATCCCTTCCCATGTAATTCAGGACCCCACTGCCATATCCGTCCACAGTGGCCTTCCTGGGCCATTTCCCAACCCCCTCCAGACTCTCCTTCCCGGCCCCCCCACCCCCCACCCCCATCATTCCATCTAATTGTACTGTTTTCTTTCTCTGGGTCATTGGGGTAGAGCTTGTCCCCCTAGGACGGGACTGTGTGGGCAATAATGCATCCCCAGCATCTAGCACAGGGCCTGGCACAAAGGGCATTGCCCCCCCTGTGGACACATTTCTGTCACAGAGCTTCCCACCAACTATTCCCATGCCGCCTCCTCTCCCAGTGGAAGGAAAACTGCCACCCTTTTCATGGATCCAGAGAACCCAAATGGGGAAGGGGGGGAAGTTTTCGTTGAGGGACACATTTCATATACCCTCACTCCCTGTTCCCAAGACTGTTTCCCTCTTTCAATGGGAAGCAGGATGCTGGTCTCCTTTTCAAAGAAGGGGCCTCTGGGCACCCAGCGAACATTGGGGCAGAGCCATGTCAAGCATGCACAGGGATCTGAGGAAGGGGTGGCCCTCTCCTGGACCTCCACGCCTAGGTCTTTAGAAACCGACGGATTCACCAGTTTCCCCACATAGCTGCTGTGAGGATATCTGCCTGCTGAGTGAAGGGATTTGGGGTTTTGTGTGATTGGATCCTCCTCTGTCCCCAGTGATTAAAGGTGAAGTCATCTGTACTTGCTGGCCCTGCTGGCCTGGGCCTGACTCATCACTTGGCTGGTGTCCTGTCTTGTGCTCAGCAGGGAGTGGTGGGGGCATCGTGGAGGAAATGGCACTTGGGGTGAAACCTGATGTAGCCCAGCCTCTCAGTCTCCTATTGGCTCACCACTTAACCCCAAGGGGTCTCTCTATAATCAGGACTGACAAGGGACCCCTACAGCCTTCTCACAGCTCCCTAGCACTGCCGGTACAAGTCCTTACCCCTCAGTCCATCCTCAAGCTCTAAGGAGTCTGCCTTGCCTGCTCTTGCTTCACCCCCTGCATCCATTCTACTCTCTACCGAACACCTCCAAAGACCTCCACTTCCCTTCTGTTAGGTGAACCAGCCAAACTCTCTCCTGCCTCAGGCACTTCATGCAAGATGTTCCATCTGCACGTCTGCATGCGGTCCTTCTCCTTCACCTACTTCACCAAGTTAGTGGCAACGAACTCTTCCCAATTCTGGGTAAATGACACTTCTGCTGGGGCAACAAAGCACTTTCCCCTGACGGCTGCTTTCCCAGCAACTCCATTTTGGCAGTTATCCATTTACTACCGGTGGGGTCAGTATGTGGGAATGGGCGGGCAGGCCCAGTCTTGCTCCCCACATGCCCTCATCAAACATAGTAGCAAGTAGTCCTCATAGTAGACCAAGTCCTCACTGTGTGCATGGGCTTAAGTCATTTAATCCCCTCAAAATAATATGAGTTATCCTGTTATCCCCATTCTACAGATGAAGACACTGAGGCTCAGAGGAAAAGGTACGTGCCTGAGGTCACACGGCCGAACGTGGCAGCAACAACACCTGGACTCAGGCACGATGTGGTGAGGGGGGGAAGAAATTGAATACTCCCTGAAAAGGTCCAGTTGCATCCTCTATTTTTCAGCTCAGTCTTCCCCAGCACACCTGCAATCTGCAAGTCTCAGGGCAACCCTTAAACGCAGTAGTGTTCTCTGGAGCAGCAGCAGCAGGGGGCAGCAGTGCACCCGAGGAAGCTTTCTCCAGCCCCAGTCCCACAATGTGAGACCTGGCAGGGGCCTCTCCTTGGAGAGGGAGTGGCCTTAGCTTAGGGATTGAGAGGAAACTAAGGGTGACTTGACCTTCTCCCAGAGTTGTAGTGAGGGTTAGCTACAAAGCTGTGTGTGAAACACCAGGAAGGAAGCTGGCAAATACGACTGGAGAAGGCCTGGACTCAGAGGCCAGGCAGCGGGGGTTGAAATGCTAGCTCCTCCTCCCTCTCTGTGCCTCAGTTTTCTCTTTTGCAAAATGGGGGTGACACTAGAACCCACCCCCATGACATTGTAGTGAGGATTAAATGGATTAAGATGCAGCACGCACACTGTGGGGGTCTGGCTATTGTAAGTAATAGTAATGCTCTTGTTATTGCTACAGGCTCAACTCTGTTCCGGCTCATACTAACCAAATGAGCACGCTGGCAGGACTCGGAGGAGACCCTGCCAGAAGGGGAAACTGAAGCTGTGGGAGGGGTTGTGACTACCTGAGTCTCTCTGATGGACACCCTGGTCTGAGTTCATTGCAAAGCTGGATGGGGTCCCAGTGGTGAGCAGGAAGAGCTGACTGAGAGCGAGGGAGGAGTTGGAGGGAGGGGAATGCCAAGAGGGGGAAAAGAAAGGGATACAGGCAAACGGGGAGCGATGGGCAGAAGTGGTGGGGGCAGAGCTGAAGGTCTGAAGCACCATACCTGCGGGCCGGGCGTCGGGGCCCGGGCGGGGGGCCCCGGGGTCTCCAGAGCAGGCGAGACGGAGAAGCGGGAGAAGCACAGGGGGGGGCCTGGCGGGGGGAGGAGGGGGAAATCCTCCGCCCATTCGAAACTGCCTCCTAGTGGGGGGGGGTGAGGGAAGAGGGGTACAATCAGATTCTCACTTTGGCAGGCGCCCCGCCCCTCCTCGTGCCCCGCCCCCGGAGCCCGCCCCCGCTCCGCCCCGCCGCTCACCAAAGCCGCTGTCGTTGCTGGGAAACCCATCTCCGGTGGTGGCGGGGTGGGGAGGCGTCGGGGGCGCTGGGGGCGTTGACGGGTCCGTGTCCCCCTCGGGAGGACCCTGGACGCTCAGCTCGTTGGTTGGCGTCTCCTGTGAAGGCCAATTAGGGGAGACCAGGGGGGCGAACCGTCATAGCTCGCTAACTGCATTCCCAAGGAGCAACACCAATCTGCTCACATTTCTGGGGCTTCAGGCATCCTAATTTCCAATTGCTCTAGCAGGAGTGGTGGCGGGAGCCCTCATCAAGTGTCTCCCTATAGCCTGTCCCCTCTCCGTGACCTCTGTGACCCCCTACCCACCTCCGAGATCTTGGTCGCAGAGGTCCAGGTTCCGGCCCTAGAACTGTCTGCCCCTATGGTCCTCAAAACCCTTACCCCCATCTTACGCACCTCCCGACCTCTGAAGAAGCCCCCTTCAAGCCCCCAAACCCCACTCCTTTGTTGTAGTGACTCCAGGCCCTGCTCATAACCCAGTTCTTACCCGTCTCGGACCTCACGCCCAGCCGCCACCGGCTCTCCCTTTACTCTTCAACCCATCTCTCTAAACGCCCCCAGTTCATGAGCTCTGCTCATCCCCGAACCCACTCCCGATTATGCTAACACTGCAAACCGCATCTCTGCGCTGTCTGCAGCCTCTCCAAGGCCCCGCCCGAGGTCGCTGAGACCTGCTCCACCAAGCGCGCCCCTGAGCCCGCATCACCGGAGCGCGGGGTGCCAAGTCCCAACCCC